GCGAGAAATCACCCCCCAGGGGGGATGGTCACGCCGCAATCCCTTCTCCTCCATTCTCCTCTCGGGATCCTGGGCACACACGCACACGCGCCCGGCATCAGTTTTAAGCCACCGGGTCCGGGACACGAACCGTGGTCGACCACGTGGGAGTCCAGCGACATAGCCATTACGCCAACTGCTGGTTCCCGCAAGTTATTTTGACAGGGTGACCAGATTGTGATCCTCCTGCTCCACCACTGTGCCTGGCCTGATTAGACTGGGCTAAGAACCAGACCCCAGCCTCCCTTGTAACCTCAGTGGCATCCCCCTGCTTGCCTCACTGTGGCTGGTCCTCTAGATATTTCTACATCTATGTACTTATATCGGAAACCATGAGCACACACCAATACTTCTGATTCCCGCCAAACACTACAGAGTTCATTGTGGACTTCTCTCTTTCTGTATATGAGCTCTCTGCTCTGTGGCTGAGATGCCTGGCTCCCACCTGATCAATTCCCTGTAACTCATCTCCCACTTCCACTGCCATGCCTCCCCCTACAGTTGCTGTCCCAGCCCACATGGATGTTGGCTTCGCTGGCCCCACTAGGCCATCCTCTGCCAGATCTCTGCTTGGGCTTTGACTCCCCTGGCCAGGCTGCCCCAACTCATGGTCTCACTCCTTGCGCCACTTGGATTTGGGTTGGCCCTGTCGGCCCGTCCTCCTGTAAGGATGCCCTCCACATCACACTAGGCTCTGACATCCCATGCCAGGCAGCTTCATGCATGGATAGCCTCAACCAGCTCAAGCTGACATGCCACACCAGGCTGCGCTCCTAACCCCGAGAGGTGCACTGCTCGGCCAGCAACCCAGGCTGGACCACCCTGGCACGGACACCTGCTCAGTACACTCGGGTTCTGACTGCCCACACTGGGGCACCTCTGCTGTGGATGCCCTTCTCACCTGCTCTGGTCATGTCCCCACACCAGACATCTCTCCCCCAGAGGAACAGCAGCCTCATCCCACTTGGGCTGACTCAGATGCCACTGTTTATCCCCCAGTGAGGGAGCCACCCTCAACCCACTTGGGCACTGGGTTCCCACATCAGGCTTTAATCTACCCCCTGCTTGGAAGACGGCTTTATCCCCCAAAGGCTGGACCGCCACCCTGGGCAGACACTCTCCTCCCCCAGTCTGGTCACTGACAAGCCCCATGTGGGTATCCTCTTCACCCAGATCAGGCAGCCCTCCTTAATTGCAGCTGCCTCCCCAGCTCTGCTCCACCTAATAGCTTTAGGATTGAACTATCCAGGTAGGGAAGAGGCAATTCTAATTCAATATTCTGAAAAGATGAAATGTTTTCAAAGAATATTTGCTATGAGAAAAATGCTTTCAAGTTCTTTTTTTAACTTTATTTACTTATTTTAAGGTTTTTTGTCATAGGGTGTGTGTGCTCACTGGAGAGAGAGGGACAGTGAGAGGGAAAGTGAGAAATCCACCCCCCCTCCACCCCAAGAGGGATGACCACACTGCAATCTCTTCTCTGCCATTTTCCTCCTGGGATCCTGGGCACACATGCACATGGGCCTGGGTGATATTCAAGTCACCAGCCCCTGGATAAGTAATTTTTAAAATCTCCTAGAATATAACTTACAGATAAACTTTGTTAACTGTACTGTTTGGTATATGTATAGTCTTCTAAGACTTTCTATATATATATATATACAATGTATTTTTAAAAGGTGGTATTTTGGGGCTGGCAGGTGGTGTGGTGGTTAAAGGTGCTGGATTTCCACATGGGTGAATGCAGTTCAAGTCCTGGACCTGGCGGCCTGCTTTCTTTCCCTTTGTCTCTGTCTCTCTCTGGTCAAATTAAAAATCATCAACATAATAATAACAACAACAACAAATGGAATTAAATAATTTTTTAAAAAAGTGATGATTTCTAGATGCTGTTTACTTAATATAGACCACAAATTTCTTTTTCTTTCTTTTTTTTTTGGAGAGGTTTTTGCTATAGGGTGCGTGTGCTCGCCAGACAGACAGAGAGAGACATAGAGACAGAAAGCGGGAAATCACCCCCCAGGGGGTATGGTCACGCCGCATTCCCTTCTCCTCCATTCTCCTCTCTGGATCTTGGGCACGCATGCACACGCACCTGGTGTGAGTTCTAAGCCACCGGGTCCAGGACGCGAACCGCGGTCGACTACGTGGGAATCTAGCGACATAGCCATTATGCTAACTGCTGGTTCCCGACAAATTTCTGTCACTATGAATTATCATATTAATTTTTATACAATTTGTCTACAGTGTTGTATTACATTTCATGGTCTCACCATAATTCATTCAACTACACTCTTAACATTTAATTATCCACAATTCGTTGCACATTTAGGATATTTCCAATCGTTTATTCTCAAAGCTATGAATTGCTGACAAAGGGGGATCAGAGCTTTTATTACAGATATAAAATTAGTCCCAGAAAGAGTTATCAGGGCTAAAAAGGTGAAAAAATGCAGCAGGAGGGCTCATAAAACGTATGGTGGATAAATGTTAGAAGCAGGTGGCTACGAGGGGTCAAAAGGCCCTAAAATGCAGGAAAGCTGGGAGAGCCCCAGAGGGTCAGGTCGTGAGGTCTGGGAAGAGGTGGGGGGCTCTACTCACCTGCACACAGGCCTTCAGGGGCCCCAGGGGCTTCTCATTCTGCTCTTCCATGCTCAGCTCCAGGCCCGCAGGCTGCTGAGGTCCTGCAGTGAGAGGAGATGTACTGAGTCCAAAATGCCCATGCAAGTCCCCCAGCACTGCTGTGTCCCCGTGCCCTGCTCCCCCTCGATACAGTTGCCATGGCAAGTGTGCTTCTAGAGGTTTCTGTCTCGATTCCTGCACAAACACCTGTATCTGCTGGTCCCTCTCCTCTCCCAGGCCAAGACTCTGCAGCTCCAACCTGGTTCCTCCAAGATGTGGGCCTTTGAACTCCCTATTTGAGAGCCTACCTCATGCCTAACGTGGCCTTCTGCTCACCATTAAAATCTGCAGCGCCAATCATCCCTCCCCTACTCCACTGGGTCCCAGGATTCCCACAAACAGTGGGCACACTGAAGACCCACTAATGTTCACCTCTTCCCAACCTGAGTCTGCAGCCCCAAACCTGCTCTTCTTCCTAAGGCTGGCAGCAGGGCTCTGGGACTGATGACCCAGAATTGCACTTACTGACTAAAGGCATGAAGCTTGTGTCCAGAACTGACTGCAATTAAAACGAATTCTGGGCCACTCTGTGACACAGAGGTAACGCGCTGCTCAAGACGAGCTACATGTCCACTGAGGTTGGAGTCCCTGGCCTGGTCAGCATACACCAGGTGCAGGTGTGAGGGCCCAAGATCCAACGAGCAGGAGGACTGCAGGAAGGGAATCTTGGCATGGCCAGACCCTGTGGAGGGGGCTCTTCTCTCTTTCTCTCACATGTGTGCACACATGCTCTACTGTGAATGAGAGTGAAAAGCAAAAGCAAAACAAAACAAAACAAAACAACACTGACCCTACCCTTCCATCAGTGAGGCTTGTCTCTCCAGCAACCCATCCCAGAGGACCTCCCACTCCCTGCTCAAACAGCCAAGCAAGTATATGCCCAGAGCTTGGCTGCACTCAAGTCCTGGTCCTTCCACTTTCTGAGGTCTACTGGCCCCTACAGAACAGCGCCAGCTCAGATTCTCACCTCAACACCCTGAAGCAGTAGCTCTAAGCTAGTCCCTTCACCAACTTTGGTGTCCTCAGGCCTGAACTGCAATAGAACCTGCATGGGGCTGGGGCCTCCAACAGACACCAGCACAGGCCAGACAAAGGCAGCCCCTCCGGGCCCAGAATGTGTATCTCAACCAACTAGACGTTCTGGAGTCTGAGACTGCAGCAGTCCCTGGCAAAACACTCAATGCATCCCATCCCCTGCACCCCCTCTT